AGCACTTCTGGTTTTCTCTTTTTCCAGTTTCTTTAAAGCACTTAGACATGTTTTAACGTTCAGCTGCTTCAATAGGACTGAAATCATGAAGCTCATCACAGCCTAGAAGTAGAGCCATGATATCCATGTTCAGAAACAAACATCTTCAGGGTGTGCCATTGGAGACTAGGGAGTCAGGTGACATTTACTAATTCGTGTATAAAGATCTTGTCAGGGCTTTTGGTAGATCCACTGTTGCTTACTTGCTTTTTGTACAGTGGCTTAGTAAAATGGTGGTGACTGATCAGTTTGGGCCATGATGTTTTTCTCATTTTCTTGTGGTGCTTGTTGAAGGCAGCAGCAGATTTTTATGGAGTTTTTGGCTGTTGAATCAGGCTTCCCTAAGTGCTAAATGCTGTTAGTGTCGCCTTGTTAGGTGGTTTAATGTGTTGGTGCAATTCATCTCCAAAAGGAGAGAGCTTTGCTCCTTTCCTACAAGAATTAAGGCTTTTCAGTACTCAGAGAGTAGAATAATTATACAGGTGACATTTAGGTCACTCATGGTGTCTGATTAAATATTCAGCTGCCATGTGCATTGAAACATTGTATCTCACACATTTGATTTTTAGATCTGGGTTGCACAGTGCTCACACATCCTCAGTGTGGTTGTGGACTGTATTAACAAGTATGGCAGTGCAAAGAAATTGGCTCATCTGTCCTCAGACTTGCTAGCTGCTAGCATTTAGCCCAGAGGGATTTTTTACCTTAGCTTACCTGTTTCTCTCTCCTGTGTTTCTACCACCATCTCTTATCGAGGCAAGCTAGTAAGACTTTTTTGAGAATCTGTGAGCACTTTCCTTGCATACACCAACACCCAAGATAAGCAAATGCTCTGAGTTGCTTATTGTCAAGCTGGGGAGGCAATGAAGAGTTTTGACCAGATGTCCAAGCAGACTGGAATAAATTGAAATGCTTCCAAGACACAGCATCTTCTGACCAGAAATGCAGATTTCGCCACTGAAGGTGTAACCTCAGGGCTGATGGTTTCTCTGTAGTTTCCAGGCAGTAGAAGCCATCTGGTGCTGTTCCTGTACATCCTGGTGCACATATGGCTGAAGGATTTTGCCCCATCCTCTAGCAGAAGCCTGTCCTGTGAGCAGCTGGAAGCTATACATAGACAGGATGTACCAACTCTCTGATAAAATTACTAGGAGTACAAAAGCTAATTAATCATTCATTGCCTGTATATTCTAATTAGAGCAGTCTAAGTGAGTGCTTTGTGCTTCTAGCTGTTGCAGGCACTGAAGCAAAGCTTCCAAAGCTTTCCAAAGATGCAGGGGCAAAGCGTTGGGCCCTGTTTTATAAATAGGGAAGCTATGGACTGATGGTGGGCTTGTCAGGGGATTTCATTCTTGTCCCAGCCTTACTGCCATTCCAAACCTTCAAGCTAGATGCACTGATCATCAGAAAGCTGAGTTGTAGAAACATACTCCACTTATCCTCAACTTCTGCTGGAGTGTCCTTGCAAAGCAAGAAGACACAAGAGCAGTCCTGGGAAGCAGGCCTGTCACCATTCACAGATGGGCTGTCCTGGAGACATGTTGCCTCATTCTTTATTCCAGTGTATTTTATGAAAAGATCTAACAGGGTTAAAACCAGAAAAAGTCAAACCTTGTTATACCTATTTCTGTTGAGATCCACAAGTTAAAGTGACAGAAGAGAGAAATCCAAGCTGGAACTCCAGCAGATATGAAGAACTGATAAATGACTTCTAAGCATTGGTGCTGTTTTGAGATGGCCAACAGCTTCAGGAAGAAAAGATTATTTCAGTGACTACTTCTTGGAACTTAGGAGTTTTTGTTTGTTTTTTGAAAGTTTTATGAGGTGTTGAAACACTGTATTGCATAACTGCTTCAGCCCTTCCCTGTTGCTTTCAGGGTTTTGTTCTGCTTAGCAGTAGATAGTAGATAATTTTGCCTGTCAAGCCTCACTTGGCTGATTTTATTCATCAGTTACAGAAGACACAATACTAAGAATAAACTTCACCTTTTGTAACCTTCATCTCAGTGTGGTGATACATCTTCTCTAAGGAGTGAATAATGGTATTTTGATGCTTTGGAAGTTAAATGTGTACCAACCACTAAAACATCTAATATTTTGATGGGAGGTCAACAAACAAGTAGTTGTCAGATAGATGTTTTTGATATCCCATGTAAGCTGAGATATGGTACATTCAGTGACTTGGCAGCTGACAGTGAACTGGGACCCTTGTTGGACTGCTTGGGCAGCCTGTGATCCCAGGAGAAGGCTGGCTTTTTTCCACCTCTGGAAAGAAACGTGTCTGAGTGTATAAAACTTGAAACTATTTGGCATTTACATTTCCTCATGACTTTTCAGGCAAACTGCTATTGACAGGGTGGTAGGAATGTGTTGTGGTAAGATGAGCCATACGTGCACCTTTCTAAAGGCAAAGAGCTTCATCTCCAAGGCAGGCATGGGGTTTTTTTCTGTCTGTGGTTATCCAGCAGGTCCAGGTGAGACTGCTCTCTGTTCCATTGCTGAGCAGTACAGTCACTGAAGGCTTTCAGTGACACAGGGCAGCCTTTCAAAACAAGCTGGTATTTATTAGTTTCTTGGGGTGGCATGTAGAGCAAGGTCACATTTGTGCTGCCAAATTAAACTTCAAATGGAGCCAGGGGGGACTGAAACAACCTTGGATTTCTAGACCTATTGGATGTCCTCTCAGTGTCCCAGTGTGTGAAGTCCTTGCCACAGCCACATACCTCAAGGTACTCTTTCCCTGTTTGCTGTACTGCTGTGGTCAGAATCCTGCCTCCTCCAGCTCCTGATGCTAATCTCTGGTCACTGGAGTCTTCTGTGACCTCCCCAAGGTGCTTCAGTGATTCAGGGTCGGCTCCTGCAGGAAATAAGACTTACTATGGCAAATACTGTTTTCCCAGGGAAGTGTTGTACATGCCTTCAGACAGCAAAACAGTGTCTGCCGTGTGTGCCCCACCATCCCACATTGTCCATGTTTCCTGCTTTGTCAGACTCATGATGTCCCCTGGAGTGTTTGGCAGGATGCAGGGAGCAGCTTTGGAAGCAGGGCTGGCTGGTGGCTTTGGGACCACTTTAGGAGCTCAGGTGCTCTGGGTAGCCAAGTCTCAGTGCACCCTTCCAGCAAGGGTGAAGTGCTGGGTTGATAAATCAAAGGGCTTTCCTTGTGAGAAGTGGATGGCTTCGTCCTGCTCTCCTTTTGATGGTGTGATCCTCTCCAGCAGCAGCTTTGATTCTGCACCTTGAGGTTGCAGAAACACACCTGTGTGAGATCAGGTGATGTGTGAGCACAGTGCAGCAGGTAATGTTTGTCTTGCTGGGTGTCTGAGAGGAAGAGACCAGAGTCACATGAGTTGCTGGGACACCTTGTCTGCTGTCTGTCATTGACCTTGATCAGCCCTTACAGCTGCTGGTTGTTTAGAGCTCTCAGATAAAAATAGGTTCCCTAATTTATATATATATGTAAATGAACATGAACCAGACTGCCAAAGCAGTGCTATAGTTGGGTGCTTGTGGGCCCAAGTGGGAAGCTGTGTGTCTAAACTGAGTTACCACCCTCAAACCTGGCTGTGTCTCTGCACTGGCAGTGGGACTGGGTGAAATTAGTGCTGCTGGAAAGAGCTGCAGGGTGTTACTAAGTGGTAGGTCTCAAGCCCTCATAAGATATTTGTGTGTTTGTTATTTGTAAACTGCACCTCTGTTGCCATGAAATATTTTGAGAGAAATGAAGCAATGTTCAGGTGGCGTTTTCCTCAGGTAGAATACATATTTAAATAGTTGTCACCTTTTTCTTCAAAAACATCCATTAGGGATTTTTCTCCTCTTTTTCTCATTCCCAGACACAGAAGGCAAGCCCTCCTAGGGGTAGCTTTTTCTACAGTCATTTAAGACTTGTAGATTAATTGGTAAGCAGGTTTTGGTGCTAAGTGTGTTAATGATTTCTGGATGCCTGTGTTGTGTGGTATCATTTTTATGGAATGACATGTAATGACCCTTTCCTTTCATGTCCCAGGCAAGTGGGATTTCAGTAATACTGGTCACTGCCTTGTAGCTTACAAAGTGAAGAGTCTTTCTTCATCCACCTGGAACACTTGTATTTGGTCAGGAAAAAGAAAAAAGAAAAGCAACTTTGCTTCTGTCTGGCATGCAGAGAGCTTTGCCACACAACATCAGTTGTGTGGTATTTCAGTGTTTTATTGAAAAACAAGATGTTTTGCAAGACCCCTTTGTAATAATTGTGTGATGAGTAAGATTTGGTTATAGATGTTTTTAGAGTTGTTGTCACACCTGCTTCAGTTGCCTAACGTCACTTAATGATGAAAAGTCAATTGTGGGTTGTCTTCCAGAGGACTTGAGTGATGATTTATTTTAAAATTTTTATTCCTTCATCTCAGTTTGCTTCCTTTATATGGTACCTTCTTTTATGAGTGTTTGACAGTGATAGGTTCAAACTTGTTCCAAGATTAGCATGGAGGGTGTTGTAACACATACACATCAGGCAATAAATCAAGGTGTGGTGGATGGGCTGTGGATGACATCCAGCTTTATGGATGACTCATCTTCATTGGACCTGAGAGCTGTGGAAGGTCAAATATGTTTTACAGGGTCTGCCATCTTCTCAGTGTTGGATGATCCTTGAATCAAAACTGAGTGGGGAAACCTCAAATCTGGGGTATCTGTTCCTGAATCACCTGGTAGATTTTCCTGTGTCTCAGAGGCTGACTGCCATTGTGCTTGAGGCATGTATACCTGCCTGCCTTCTGTGATCTTCAAACCAGGCTTTCAGAAGAGCTCAGCAGTGACACGTTTTCAGTAAACCCGGTGCTTTTCCTCCCTCCTCCTGTGTTTTAAAACTAAACTGGGGATCAGGGCACTCACCTGAATGGCTTTGCGTGCGGATTTGCGCAGCCCTGGCTGTGAGATGGGTGCTGTGACCAGAGACGTTGTCCCTGTGTCTCCCTCAGAGCAAATTGGGGCGCTGGCCGGGCAGCACATCGTGCACGTGGCCTGTGGCGAGTCGCACAGCGTGGCCCTCAGCGACCAGGGCCAGCTCTTCTCCTGGGGCGCCGGCAGCGACGGGCAGCTGGGGCTCACCACCATCGAAGATGCAGTGACAGTACCAAGGTAAGCCTTTGCCAGGTCAGCTTTCCTCAGGGAAGCTCCTCGGAGGGTTGCTCACCAAGGGTTGCTCACCTTCTGTCAGTGTGGCAGGAATAGGGCCCTTCTCATGCTGGGATGAAGGTGATTCCTTCTCCTTTTCACTGCTGCTCCCTGAACCCCGCAAGTCCTCAGGAGGTTTGGGCAGAACAGACTTTGTGCCCATGGACGGCTGAGAGATGGAAAAGAAAATTGCTCCGTGAAAAATGTCACAGTGTTTTGTACAGAAAGAGGAGGTGCATGAAAGAGCACTTAAAAACAGAAATGCTGTTTGTACTTCAAGGTGTTTTATCATGCTGTGTTGACAGCAGATGCAGTCTCTCATTTGGTCCGCCACTGCAGATCCAGTGCAGAGCAGAAGTTTGGGGTGTGTCTCTAGGATGGCTGTCATTGTCAAAACAGTATTTAAAGGAAGAGTTTCAATGACAAAAGATTAATTTTTGAGCTGAAGGGCTCTGTGGGAAGCACATGTGGTTCTGGTAAAACGGGCAGAGAGAGGCTCACATAGCAATGCGATAGTGCCATTTTAAAAATAACATTTTTGTGGAATTACTTGAACCTTTGACATGCTATTTTCTGTACAAAGCACTGAAGAAGGTTTGGTGCTGTAACTCACTGGATCTGCTAGGCCCATAACAGCATGAAAAATGTCAGTGCCTGAAAAAGAAAAGTAAAAGAGACACCAAAAGCCAGCTATTTTCACCATTTCCAGATGGCTGGATTCAGTGTTATAGCAGGAAATGTAGTTGAGTTACTAGTCAAGTGTCTAGAGGTCTCCACAGATTTGCATCTATTACGTATGGATCTGTATTGCCTTCAAGAAAATGTTCCTCAGTCCCAAAACCATAGATTTTTTGTGTGTATACAACAAATATCTGAGTGGAAATGGTAATTTTTATCTAAGGTGATACTGTATTTGTGGACACTTACTCCAAAACCATGTTGTCATCTTTAGGTTGATAAAGAAGTTGAACCAACAGACGATACTGCAGGTTTCCTGTGGAAATTGGCATTGCCTGGCTCTGGCAGCAGGTACTGTAACATCTGTTATTAATTACCAAAATTTGTGCTGTTATTTTACGCAGTGTCCAAGACTGCATATTTCTGTATAATAAATCAAGGACATCCCATGTTCTGACTGCTTTTGGGCCAAATGGGATGCTATAAAATGGATCAGGTACCATGAATATTGAGGAAGAGCTTTGCCAATACTGTGAAGAAAGAAAGCATTACACACAGACCACCCACTGTCTCACTGGTGAATGATGGCAGGAATGCTTGAAAGCTTTCCATCTTGATTTAGAAAAATGTGTGTAATTAATTTCTTTGTGTTGAAATTTTCCTTGGCTGTTACTCTTTTATGTAAAATGAGGACTGTTTTTGTTGCACTGTTTGTTACAGCACTTGTATTTTGTATTTTGCACTTAGTTGGTTGTGTGTTCATTTGCCTGGTGGCTTCAGGCCATGCTTTTTTTTTTTAGCAAAGAATGTCTCTCTTGATTTTGCTTTTTTTTCTTTTCATCATGAGGCTTGGGTGGGAGCGAAGCCTCCAGGACTGTTTATTTTTAATTTTGGCAGACTTGCTGTTCTCTTGGCTAACTTTCACCCACCATTCTCATTCTTTCCTTGTTTCAGATGGCCAGTTCTTCACGTGGGGGCAGAACAGCTACGGTCAGCTGGGCTTGGGCAAAGAATGTCCCTCCCAAGCCAGTCCACAGCGTGTCAAGTCTCTAGATGGGATCCCTTTGGCTCAGGTTGCTGCAGGTGGAGCCCACAGTTTTGCCCTTTCTCTCTCAGGAGCTGTGTTTGGCTGGGGGAAGAACAGCTCAGGACAGCTGGGACTAAGTGATGAACGAGGTATGGAAATTATGCTCCTAGGTGAAAGGACAGACTCCTTTGCCTGGTGTCTCTTGTTGCATTGACAGTGTATTTTTACTGAGTGGGCCTGTAACACTCAGCAGTCCTTCCTGAGACAAGATGGCAGAGAAAGTCTCTGTCTCTAAGGCTTTTCATACCTAGTAGAAACAGGAACATGTTTTTTTCCCCTTGTGGGTGTTAATTTAAGTGAGGAGGGTTAAAAAGAGAGATCTTTCAAGTGTGAATGCCAACATGTAAATATCAAAGAAAGTGCTTATATTCTTTCTCCCTCTTCTCAAAACCATTTTGTTTGAAGTTCATTGGAGGAAAGGCTTTCCCTGCGGAACAGCAGGCTGAACCCATCTCCTCATTTCCCAGCATGACTTTGACTGGTGAGCAGCTGTATGCTTCAAAATGATGGCAACACTGAGTATCTCAGTACTGTAAAATGTTTATTTAGTAGTTTATTTATTGCACAGTTTACCAGACACATAGGGCCAGTGGTAGTTTTCTCAGGTGCTAGTCTGAAAACCCCAGATCTCTTCTACCTTCTGAATAAAACAAGTGAATGGAAGGTTTTCTTTGGAGCTTCAAATCAACCTCCTTATTGGTTTCTGCGTAATTCCTGAGCAGATTTAACTATCTAGGCAAGTTTCTGAGTGTAGATGTGATACCTAGCATGCACCTAGGTACCTTGTACTGTCTGTAAAGTAGGGCTGATCTAATAGGGGAGCAGCAACGTCCTTTCCATGTAGATTGGCAGATAAATGCTTCTAATTAAAACAAAGCTGCAGTTTACATATGAGAGGCTTACACTGACATGGGGCTAATCTTAAATGAACAGAATAGGCATCAGCTCGTGGGATGGTGCTGGCCAGGGATCATATTCTGCTTCCCCCTCAGTGCCTGGCATTGTAGTAAATATGTGATATTTATGGTAAGTGAATCATGATAAAACAGTGTGAATTGTACTTGTCAAACATGAACAGCAAGGTCTGCAAACATGGATATTCTGCAGCACTGTTATTATTAACAATTGTGCTGTAGAGAGAAGTGTCATTCCTGTGGAAGGAAAGATCAGAGTGCTAAAATACAGAAAAAAGTAAATAAAAATATGCTCTCAATTCTAAACTCATAGAAATGTTACTGTTTGAATTTCAAGAAATGGGCAACTTCTATAGGTAGGAAGCTGACTTTTGTTGGTATGGAATAAGTAACTGCTCCCCTTAATATCTAACTGTTTTGGGGTGCCTACTGCTCCTTGGAGTGCTTAGCTTTTATTTTTACTGTATTCATCCCTGAGAGACAGACTTTAAATGATTAGGGGTGGCAGAGTGAAGGAGAAAAGCATCACTTAATGGTTGGTAGTGATTAACCTTTGCAAGTAGGAGGATCTTCTGCTTAAAAGGATGACAAGAGAAGGAAAGCTGAGTATTTAAATACACATTGGGATTCAGCTTACCATGTGTCTTGCACAAGCATCTCCCACGTGTCAGGGTTGTTCTGTATGGAAAAGGTCTGAGTCAGGTTTTGGAAACAAATATTTGCAGTCATCCCTGAGGAGTCTGAAATGGAGCATGAAGGTGAAGGTGGGTGTATGTAGGCTGCACTCACCATATCTGCCAAACAGAAGTGCATGTTGAATTTATACAAGGTAATCAACATGTGCATTCTTGCTCTGGACAACTTTGTTTGAGTCAATCAAGCCTTTTAAGAATTTGAGGGGAAAAGCAGCAGTGAAGTACTCAGTGCCATGTGGGGTCGTTTTCTCCACATGTTTCCCTTGTGCTCATGGACCACGTCTGAAAATCAGAGTGGCAGTGCTTTTCTTGGACATTTTTTGTCTGTGTTTATGGACCAGCTGCTTTGTTTCCTTTGGCTTCGTTGCAGACCGGGAGTCGCCGTGTCACGTGAAGCTGTTGCGCTCTCAGAAGGTTGTTTACATCAGCTGTGGAGAGGAGCACACAGCAGTCCTGACCAAGGTAGAGATGCTGGCCTGGGAACCCGGGCCTCTGCCTCACCTGCCTGATGGTTTCACAGTGCTTTTCTGTGTAGTGGTAGAAAAACACAGATGGACTTACTGTATTCCTTCTAACCCAGTAAAAGAAACTAAGTGGAAAGTATAGCCTAATTATTTATTCTGAGATTCATTCCCAGCACGATCCTTTGCTGGTTTTGAAGATGAAGCTGTTAATAATGCATGGCAGCAAATTGCAAAACTCAGGTGATCACTTAAAAAGAACAGCTTTGTGAGGAAAACAAATTAACACACACATCCAAAGGGGTGAAAATAGTATTTTGTTGAAAAATAGAGTAATACTGTGCATCAGAATAAGATGGAAGCTAAAATGAATGAGTGTTTAAATTTAACATTAGTAGTCACAACATTTACAAGAGGTTTTCAGTTCCAAACCTGCTGCTTCCAAGTGGTGTATAATTTAGTGGTCAGAGGACAGGGCTAGGGTTTGAAAGAGGGCAGCTCAGTTCTTGCCTTGGCTCTGCCACTTTGTAGGTGTTGCTTCCTGTTTTGGAGCCTGTTTTGGAGTGTTTTCCACTGTAAAATGAATTAAACAACTGAGTTTGGGTTTCCTGTTGGGAAAAATACCATTGTAGAAAACCAGTTCTGTAGGAGCTTGTCTAGTGTAGAGATAACCTGAAGATAATTCTGTTAGTTTCTGATGGGTGGCAAGGTGGCTTGTTTGAAAGCTGCGTTAGCAGAACCCAAGTTTCTTTTCTGAATCTTTTGAAAATCCCCATCAGTCTCTGCCTAAGCTTTGGGCTCATACTGAAACTGTAGTCGGAGAGATCCTGCTGGGTTATGGGTCCCTAAATGGAGACTCTGCTGTTTGGTTTGCTAACAGAGTGGAGGGGTGTTCACCTTCGGTGCAGGTTCCTGCGGGCAGCTGGGCCACGACTCCATGAACGATGAGGTGAACCCCCGAAGAGTTCTTGAGCTCATGGGCAGTGAAGTATCCCAGATTGCTTGTGGCAGGTGAGTCCTGGGTGCAGGCAGAAGCTTTTCTTTGGTGGAGGTTAATGCTGCACTGAATCATGCAAATAGGGGGAAACAGGCCTGCTTCTGCATTCTGTGTATCAAAGCTAAATGATTTAAATCTTACTTCCCATGAGAATTTTCAGACCCTCTAAATGAGATGGTTTTTTAATTGGGGTTGTACCCTGCACTCTAACCTGTAAAAGATACCTTGCCAGCTTAATAATTCAGCAAGACTTAAGAGCAAAAGTCCCTTTGGTCACAAGTTTCCAGCCTCTTTAATGGAAAGTGAGTTAGCAGCACTGGTGCTGTGTGTTTGCCTTTCAGAATGTACAGGCTTAGCAAATGCCTAAGCTGATCCTGTAGCCTGATACCAGCTGCCTGTCTGCACAAGCTGCTCTTTGTCCCTTCCACCTAAAGGGCTCCATCCCACAAACTGGTGCCATCAGGTGGCAAAAACTGAGCATTGGTGCCCCTGTAAAGGTGCTGCTTGGCACCAGCTTCTGGCCTAGGAGAAATGAGAATAAGTTCTAGGTTGCATTTGGTTTAGTTGTTGGGGTTTTTTCCCCCCCTTGGTTTTGGTCTTTGTTTTATTTTGAATTTATTGTTAAACAAGGCCCAAACTCTGTACCCATCTCTTACAGACATCACACTTTAGCCTTTGTGCCTTCTTCAGGAATGATCTATGCATTTGGCTGTGGAACAAGAGGCCAGCTGGGAACAGGGCACACTTGCAATGTGAAGTGTCCCTCTCCTGTCAAAGGTCACTGGGCAGCTCACAATGGGCAACTCTCAGGGAAACCTGGTATGTACGTGCTCGATTTGAAATGGCAGATGGACACAAATAACTTCACCCATGGCTGTCTAAAGACGTCTTAACATTGCTCTGTGAAATCTCTGGAAATACCAAAAGAAACCCATCCTATTGTCCCAAATGCACTGTGGTAATTTCTGGGTGACCTTTTGCACTCTCTGTTAATGTGTGCTGTCTCCCTTTCTCTTTTTATGGCAATCTTGAGACTTCATGAAATTGTACTGATACTTTACTAATGCTGTTCCAAACACTTTGTTCTCTCTTTAAAGCCCCTATTGCAGTTTAAAAATGACAACTTTCCCCTCCTGTGTACCTCTTATGAAAGTGCTACAGTGCTTGAGTTCCAGCTGATTTCAGCAGGGCCTTCAAAGGACCCAGGTGCTCCTTGTACTGGCAGTGCAAATGGGAGGGGAGAAAGTGTAAGTAGGGTCTTGCATTCATCAGCCCCTAATACAGCTGTGTCTTTCTCAAACAGATGCCTGTAAATACCACATTGTTAAACATATCTTCTCTGGAGGAGACCAAACTTTTGTGCTTTGCTCCAAATACGAGGTAAACCAAATGGAAGTATCTTTACAAGTCTTCTCCCCTGTCCCAGCATTCACAACACAGCTTTTGTTTTTGCTAAAATCTTCTGAAATGGAAGTATTGCTTTGGACTCCATTCTGCCTTACAAACCTTACCAGCTCTGACAGTTGTTACAGGGATTTCCAACTTCAGTGGCTGAAAGTTGCCTTTCTTTAGAGGCACATCAAAGCCATTGGGAAGACACTGATTCCAGTTTAATCAGCAGGGAGGGGAATCCAGTCTTTGGCAGATTGGAAGCAGGGGGCTGCTTTCCACCTGTGGCACTGGCTGCTTTATGGTTGGTGTGTAGGACCATCAGCCACATACAATGGGATTTTGTTAGTCAGTGCTAGATGGAGGGCTGAATGCTGAATTAGTTTTCCCACTTCTGTCTTCCTTTTTCTTTCAAGAAGTGTTTGGGATAAACTTTTCAGGCATGGAAATAGGTCTAAAATAATTCTACTAAGCCTGTAGGTCCATATGACAGTATTTACGAGGGCTTTGGTACATCTAGGAAATGATATTTTGGTTTTTTGTTTTCCTCTTTTTAAAATATATTTGAGGATCCTTTTTTTCCTTCACTTTTTCATACCTTCCCTTTGGGACTTCTTAGTAATGGCACAAAACTTCTAACCAAACCTTTTCAGAGGCCACACTAAGGAAGCTATCAGTTATTTATTAAAACAGAGATTATGGATAGGAAGGAATTGTTTTACAAGCCATGTCTTTGCTGAAATCTGTATCTTCTCACAGAATTCCTTGCCTGCTGATGATTTCCGGACCATAAATGAAACACGTTACACCTGTTTAATAAATGATGAAACTATAGATGTCTGGAGGCAAAAGCTTTTAGAAAAGAACAGTTCTAATTCTGTCAAGTAGGTATTGTGGCACTGGACAAGCCTTTTGTTGAAAGTTCTATTGAAATAATTTTGTTGGCTTCCGTGCCATGCTTTCACTTGAAATTTAGCAACCTTTTCAAGTGTGGTTCTTGGTTGTTTCCAAGGGGAGGAGTTGCCAGTCACAAAGCTGCCAGGTGAGAGCTTCTGAGCAAAACAGAGGAATTTGAAGCTGCCTCAGCATTGCATATGGTGGGTGGGAACTTGATCCTGCATTGTGTGCTTAAAATTCATGGAAAGCAACAAGCACTTGTGAGCAGACTGATTAAGTTCTTTCCCCAGTGTCCCTGCCATGAGAAGGGCAGAATTAGGTGGAAAGGAGGCACTAATTCCTCCTTTCAAAGAGGGGCCTTACATGATCCTGAATGAAGTCTTGCCCTCTGTGCCTCTATAAAGGGGTTATCCTGACATTGTTTCCCATAAAAGGAAGGGAAGAGAGATGAAGACATTTACTGAGGCATCCGTTCATAACCTGTATCTGTTTTCTTTTCTCTTCCTGCTGCAATCAGTAATGTTGTTCAGATACTGTCCTCAGCTGCCTGCTGGAATGGAAGCTTCTTGGAGAAGAAGTAAGTACCACATTTCCAGCCATGTATGGCTTTTCCTTGATGCAGACTGGAGTCCTTTGCTTCACTCACTTCTGCAGTGGGATTTGATTTTTTTGATCAGGCAGGAGATAAGGGCAGAGGATGTTCCCTAAAGGGGTGGGATGGTCAGAGCTGGGTAAGGAAGGCAAATGGTCTAAGAGAGTGCATGGTGAGTGTACTGTAAGTGGCACAGATTTCTTGGAGTTGCCACAACTGTTATTCTTCCTTACAAAACAGATACCAATGGCTTTAGAGAGAGGGATAGGAATCAGACATTAAGGGAAATTAGGGATGCCAGGTGTCAGAATAGTCTTTTACCCAGCTGACCTAGTGGTCCATGTGAAAGTATACGTCCACACAAGCTGCTCTTGAAAACACATTGGGGCAACAAGGAAGTGCTTTCCTTTTAGGTAACATCATACGTGGAAAGTTTTGTGGCCCTGCTTGTAAAAGGAGGAATTTCAAACGGGTGTAACCCAGAATAGGTGGTGACAAGGTTGTAAGACACATAGCTGAGTCAAAGGCTGTGGGTTGGGAAGGCTTGTGTTGGTTGTGTCTCTAAATGTTGAGGAGGTAACAGCATAAGATGAGGAGGAGGAGAGATTTTTCTGGTGATGTGGTGAGTAAATGACCTGTAACTAGGTGAAGAAAAACTTACTCTGAGTAATCTTTGCGTAATACATTCCAAGAGCAACTTGAAGATAGTTTGTTAATTATTCTGGTGTTTTTCTGCTTGTCCAGTGGTTTCTTCTCTGGTGTTGTGACGTGTTATTGCATCAGGAGAGTTGTGTCATGTTGTTTTAAAATCCTTGTTGAGGTATCCAAGTTGCTGAGTCACTTTAAATAGCCTTACATCTCCTTTGAATGTGGAAATGAGTGGAGTTTATGGCTTCATCAGCCAAATACAGTTGTTCTTTCACTTCAGTGGTGTCTTGGCTAGTGCAGGACTTAGCTTCTACAGAAAATCTTTGACAAAATGAATGTTAAATACAGCCTCATTTAAGCCTTCAGAATTTAACTATGTACCTTTATACATGAAGTCTCATGTTAAGGTGCACTAGACAGAAATACTCCGGTGCATCTCTCCCATGTCCTAAGGCCATGTAGGCCGGTTTGCCTTACAGGATTAGATGGGGGAGCAGCTTTTCCATGGCTGTGTGCCTGAGCACAGCCAGCACTACCTTTGCAGAGCACAGCCCCAGCTGCTCTGTACCACAGTGTCTCTGGGAGCTGTTTCCAGCCTGGAGCCTGTGCTGTTTCGGGAATACCATTCTACCGCAGCAGGCTGTGTTCAGCTCCTCATGTGGTAACAGCCACACCATCAACCTGACAAATGCATCCTGACTTTAAGAGCTGCTTTCCCCTTCAAGATGTCTAATACAGTGCTCTTAAGTCAGTGAAGGAGTCCTGGGGACACCAGAGACTTTGATGAAGAGTTTCTCTGCAAGAATCCCAGCCCTAACCGAGGCCCAGAGGAATTTGGAAGGGGGAGTCTTTGTTTCTAGTCTTACGAATTCTCTAGTGGTCATGCTCTCAGGTCATGTCAATACACAGGTAATGGGGTCTCTTCCTTAACCTTATGCCTGTCTGTGATTTCTTTTTTAAAGAATCGATGAACATTTTAAAACCAGTCCAAAGATCCCAGGGATTGATCTGAACTCCACGAGAGTGCTCTTTGAGAAGCTGATGAACTCTCAGCACTCCATTCTCCTAGAGCAGGTATTGCACTTCTGAGATTTGGATATTCAGAGGGGAAAGTTAGGGCTCTGTCCCTCCCTATCGTGCAAGTACCAGTAGCATGGTTGAACAAAGGTTGTGTTGCAAATCTGAAATCCAGACACTTAATGGTACTTCTCCTTTGACCTGGGCTGATTTTGATCTCCTCAGAGTGTGTCTCCGAGGCTTTTATTTAAAAACAAGTTTTATCTCATGGCATTTAACACTTGAATGTCTGCTGAAATAAACTCTGTGTATGTTTTATTTGTAATTATTGTGTGTCTGTAAGGAGTTGAGTACTTTATGGTTGTATAACTTATTCTGACTCAGAATTTCTTTCACAAGTGCAGAGCTGTGGGATAAAAACATACATGTTCCTCTTGCCACTTTTAGCTATAATATTTATAGCTTTGGATTTTTTCACTCTGGGCTTGATAATAAAATAGGCTTTTACCATTTTATCAGCCCTTAAGCCTTGTCTACAGGATAAGTTGTCTTTTTTGTTTTGTCTTCTCTTTAGATACTGAAGAGCTTTGAAAGTTTTTTGATTCCTCAGCTGTCCAGCTCTCCACCAGATGTTGAGGCAATGAGGATCTATCTGATTCTCCCAGAATTCCCACCATTCCAAGACTCCAAGTATTATATCTCTCTGACCCTTCCTCTAGCAATGGCTATTTTGCGCCTGGATACCAACCCCAGCAAAGTGCTTGGTAAGTGTCATTTAAAAATTGTTTTAATTTAGAAGTAAAATATAATTTCAAAGAACACTTACTAGGGAGGTTAATCTAATTTACCTTATCTACTTTACCCACATTCAGAGACTCAGTTCCAGATAAATTTGCATTTCTCTACAGAAACATAGATTTTTGTATATCATTGTCATGGTTTGACCCTAGCACAATTTCAGGGCCTCCATGAAGGGTATATTCCAAAAATCCCTTGATGATCTCTGCTGTCACTGTGTTGTTGCAGAGTGGTTGGGGTGAGGAGGAGAGGGAACTAAAATAAGTTATGAAGAGGTTCTATTTGATTCTTCTTGGTTTGTGCCAAAATATAAGAGATTGTGTATTGCTTGTAGAGCATTCTGAGTCTTTTGTTACAAGCTGCTATAACTGAATTTATGAAAGCAAACCTGAAAATATGTTAAAATATGTCAAATATTTCCATCTGTTCTCTTCACTAGGTGAATCAGAAGGTTAAACACGTGGAATATGATAAGTTTTATATCCCTGAGATTTCCAGCTTGGTGGACATTCAGGAAGATTATCTCATGTGGTTTTTGCACCAGGCTGGAATGGTAAGAGCTTTTATGTATAGTCATGAAATAGCTGTCCATGTTTGTGTCTCTGGCTGTAGACCTGTATTTCCAATATCCTTAATCAGAGCATAATGTATTCAGTAGGAGCTTCTGTATGTTAACTATCTCAGATCTGAGTGCTTTACAAAATTGACTTAAAAATAAAAACACTGTCAGAAGAGTTGGAGCTAGCAATATTTAACCAAAGCTTGCAACAGTCTCTGTGATTGTTCATGTGAATTCCATTCAGTCTTTGCACAAGGTGATTAATTCAGTCACTGGATCCTTTTAATGTAATCAAGACCTCAGGAGCCAAGTCCTGTATTCTAAAATTATAATTTTTGCCCTTTACTTCTGCTGTTTAGGCAGGTATTGTGAATAATGTAGCCAGTGATGTTAAAATGTTGCTCTGTAAGAGGAGGCAGTGTGGCGTTCTGGCTAGGGGACTGAACCAAGCCTCAAGAGATGTGGGTTCTGTTCCTGGCTCTTCCAGTAACCTGCTGGGTGATCTTGGGTAAGACCCTTCACCTCTTTTATGTCTCACTTTCCCATTTGTAGAGAAAGGAGATAACTAAACCGAGGGCTGGAATATGCTGTGTGGGAACCCAGTGAGATTATTTAGTCATAGCAAGGAAAGGAATCTCAGGTGTTAAAAAAAACCAAAAACCACCAAAAAACATCTGCCGAGGGATGCTGCAAGAGTACAATCTGACTGTAGTGATAACTTTTGTGTGTGTTTTCATGGGCTTTTTAAGTGTTTGTGCTGTGCCCCCATCCTCTGCTTTCCATCAATGAAATAGTGCTGCTGTGCTTACCTTTAGTGAGCAGAACAATAAAGTACTGACTTAAATTTATGTAAGGGATAGTTAAGAATGTGTCAATATGGCTAATGATGAGTAATTTGCATTGCAGGGGTGTTCTTGTATCACCATGTAGAGGCCTTATGGTCTCTCCTGTTGTTTCATATTGTTTCTGTATTTGTTACTCTTCATAAGAGCAAGTTTCACCCATGGCAGACCAACACAGGATTCTATGCCAGTCAGTCCTCTTAGGAATGTTTGAATGTTCATGTTTTGAATTAGACTTGTGCATTTTCTTGAGAAGGAAGTTCCCATGCTTTTCTTTAAGAGGAAGAAAAATGGGTTGTTGGTCCCAAAGAAGGAAAATTTACTTTGGGTCACCTTTGGACTAGTCCATCCAAAAAAACTCATGAGACACAAAATTGAAAGAGTAAAAGATTTTCATACTTCTCTTTTTCTTTCACAGAAAGTAAGGCCGTCCATCATGCAGGTAAGAAAATTGTTTAAAGATTGTTCTTATTTAAATTACTATATTGTTCCTATTTAAAGAAGTGCTTTGGAAGCTGTGGATAGGAACAAGTCTTGCCTGTCTTTCTTGCAGGACTCTGTGACTCTCTGCTCTTACCCTTTCATCTTTGATGCTCAAGCTAAGACCAAGATGTTACAGACAGATGCAGAATTACAGATGCAGGTAATCATTCTCTCTCCCAGTTTTCCTGACACATTTCTTTTTCTCTGCTTTTTGCAATGATGCCTGCATGGAAAGGGTGTTAACTGGGAGCTGCTGTGCAACACTTTATTGTTTCCATAATACAGGAGAACAGTGAAGCTGGGGTGTAGCAATCTCTTTGCCCTGGATACTGCAGAGGCAGTGCTTGGTGTCTTTCCCTTCAAAATGTTTGTCTGGCACCATCAGGACTGTCAGATGTGCATGTGTTGGAAATTTAAACAGGGGAGGGGTAGTTACATATTTTTGATAATCCAAGGATAAGGAGTAAAGTGAGGAGCTGTAAGACTGAATAAGCAGGCAAAAGTCCAGGTAAGTGAACACTTGTTTTGACATTTCTGCCTGCTGCAGGAGTGCTTGTTCCTTCATTCTGACTGTGAGGTGAGTGTTGTAGACCAGCTGCTGATGCTGTTTTTGGTTGCAGGCAGCAGCTGTTGCCAGCAGCCCACCCACCCAGGTGCAGTGAGGGCACAGCCCCGGACCCTCCAGGAGTGTGCTGACAGCAGGTGTCCAGCCCCAGCACCCTGTAGGTGGCAGCCAAGCCAGCTCACAGCCAGGCTGTGACAAGGACAGCTGGCCTCTGTGCCAGTGGAAATGCCCCAGTGCCAGGCACTGCTCACACAGGTCCCTCCTGAGACGGGCACAGCGTTGGGCACTGGCACACACTGGCAGGACATACAGGCACACACACACTGTACAGAGGGAGCATGGGATTCCTGAACCCTGGAGAAACCAAAGAGGCAGAAAGGAGCACCAGGCATGTAGTTGTTAACGGTTTTCCTTTCATAGGAAGAAAAAAAGGCTTAGGCATAGGCTGCTTTTCACTTCTCTTTTTATTTGCAGGTTGCAATAAATGGTGCAAATTTGCAGAATGTCTTCATGCTTCTCACCCTGGAGCCTCTGCTGGCCAGAAGCCCTTTCCTGGTACTTCATGTTCGCAGGAGTAACTTAGTTGGTGATGCTTTAAGGGAGTTGAGCATCCATTCAGACATTGACTTGAAAAAACCTCTCAAAGTAAGTTTCCCCCATATCTTTAGCATCCTCTCATTTAACAAACATTTCCGTAGCCTTTCAGCCATTCACATTACCTCTTCACCAGTGTGCAGTAATTTCTCCATAGGTGTTGCACACAGGAACATTTGGTCTGGTCAGTACAAGGATTGAGTCTTTCTTCTGACCCCTGGAGTGCTTTGGCAGTGGATAGTTTACAAGAAGGCAAGCACAGGGTTTGCTCTCTTCTCCTGGTGTGTTCAGTGTACAAGGACCAGGGGAGGAAGCATTTGTGATGTTATGCAATCTCTGTTTTGCCCTTCTGCAAGAGCAGGCTGTTTACAATAGGATGTGTTTAATCTCTGAGAGATTGCCACCATCTTCAGTACCTGCTGTCATGTTGCTGCTTTGATTGTTGGGACGACAGGTGGTTATTTGTGATTGGCATGAGGATTTAAACGTTGTCAAAATAGCTGATTTGCCACCCCTGTTCCCTTTCTGTCCCTGCAGGCAGAGCACTGAAATGAGCTCATGGGTTGCCGTGGGTTTGGGCATGTTGGTCAGATTACTTTGTATGTCTCTCAGTTAGAGAGGTCTGATTCACTCAGTCTCAGCTCTGCATCCCTGTCACTGTCCCTGCTTTTTCTACAGGTTATCTTTGATGGTGAGGAAGCTGTTGATGCTGGAGGAGTGACAAAGGAATTTTTCCTCCTGTTGTTGAAAGAACTACTCAACCCTATCTACGGCATGTTCACTTACTACCCAGAGTCAAACCTGCTGTGGTTTTCAGACACGGTAAGCCCTTGCCCTCGGTACACACAGGCTGGAATAATATGCTGCATTTAAATGACAAGGAAGTTATTGGCAAACTATGGGAAAGAAGTGTTCTTCCTCTCATTTTCTACTCCTGATACAATGTGAATTCTATTTTCAGTTAGTATAAATAGGTCCATTAACCCTAGTAGAATGGTGATGGTTGTGCCTGTTAAAGACTTGGCTCTCTCTCTTTATTCTTCTCCCATAATAAAACTTGTATTAAGGGTCAGGTGACAGGTAATAGAACTCTTGTTATCATCAATGTGATGGTCATGTGCTGTTTTACAGAATTAGAGGTTTAGGTGGTAATGGCATTAGAGTTCTGTGCTTCCCTTGCTGTTCACATAATTGCAGCCAATCCACTTAGCCAAGCATCACTATCGCCTTCAGGATCTAAAGTTGTTAATGCTTTATATGAGGAAGCTCTTAAGCAGCAAGGAGCATAGCTTGTAGTGGAAGGTTGTTGGTTTTGGAAGAGTATGGAGTGCAAGATCTGTACCTGTCAGATGGCTGGAGATGGTAATTTATGTCCTTTTCCTCACCTCCATAGGTAGGAACGTGGGAAATGACATTGTAGGTCTTCCCTTAAGGTGAGGCTGTCCTGCTAGGGAAGTTACAGGGAAGGAAGTGGCCTGGTACCTTCTGTAACCTGTGAAGAGTATTACAGAGCATTCACTCCTAATGTCAGTGCTGTAAAACAAGTCTTTTGGCACTGGGAGTGATGACTGTGTAAGCACTGGAAATGAGTTATTTAAGGAACTTGGGCAGCCAGCCTGGGAGTGACACAGCAGCGTGAGAGTCAGTGTGTGAGGAGAAGGAGGCCTGTGCTAGCACCTCTGCTGGTGTGTCTGCCTGGGTAGAACTGTGTTAATGCAAAAGCTTTTAATAGAAAATAGGATGGGTAATGGGGAGAGGATTGTTAACGCATTTTATTGTAGTACATAGGCAGTAAACGCTGAAGCACTGTTAGTGTCTAAATACAGAGGTGTTTAAAAAGGAACTAAAAGGCAGGTAAGATGGAAAGCTGCTGTTTCTACAGTGATCATGGCTTACAGAAGTAATAGAGCATGGTTTTTGAAAATTCATTTCTGTGCCACACACCACCAAGAAATTTTCAACCAGAATGGCACCTGATGGTGAGCTCTCTGAGTCTGTCCCAGTTGGAAAAGCAGGGTCTGACTTCTTAGTGCATGGAGGAAAGGGTACTGTGCATTGCGCCAGTGACAGTGTGTCTCATCAGGATTTCTCTGTGTGGTTTTGCAGTGTTTTGTAGAACACAACTGGTTTCACTTGATTGGCATCATATGTGGTCTTGCAATCTACAATTTCACAGTGGTAGACCTTCACTTTCCCTTGGCTCTGTACAAAAAACTCTTGAATGTGAAGCCCTGCCTAGAGGATTTGAAGGAGCTGTCCCCTACAGAAGGAAGGTATGAAAATCAAAATTTGCAGCTTTTCTGGAAGGTAGACCATCCAGCTAAGAGCAGGAAGTGCCAAAGCAGATAAAAGCTGATGAATAAAACACCTTCTAATCCTTTGAGTGACTGATTAATTTGGGTGACTGTGAAAACATAGGAGCTGGTGGTGGATTTTGTGTACGACTTCTCTCCCACAGGCTATTGGATCAATCTGCTTAGGCTCCCACCCTCCTGACCCCCAGACACTGGGTACCAACACAGCCAAAAGGACACCTCCCACACCCCCTTCTGAGAGCAGGAGTGGAAGCCTGTCCCTGCCCTGTGTGGTTGTGTGCGTGATCCTGGATCCCAGCCTCAGCCTTTCCCCTCAAGCCAGGCTCAGACTAGCAAGCAGGGAGTTGTGTGTAGGGCTGTGAATCATACCATCCATGAGCCAGAGCAGCTCTGACCTGCTCCCATGACAGGACGAAGCTGAGTGGAGTGAAAGAATTACTTTTTCCAAGTGGTGTATTGAATCTTTTTTACCTAATTGCATAGGGATACTTTTTACCTAATTTCATAGGTTCACCCTGACACTGAGAAGTTAAGATCCCACTGTCTGACTGCTGTCTTATTTCTGTTTTTGAGTTACCATCTGATTCATCTACACAAAATGACAGCTGTATTTATCAATAGTGAGGTAAAATGCCAGGAAGACAGCAGCAGGACTTGGGGGGGGGGGGGGGGTAGCAGAGTATTTTATCTATGATGGGCATACAGATAGTCCACATCTGTCTCTTCCTCGATTCCCTCAGACCTTGTGTGGTGATGACATAGAATTAGAACTAGGAATGTAGTTCTGTTCCAAAGCCAGGATCATTAAAGATGATCCATGAACTAGGTAGTCATAGACTATTGATAGTTTCTGTAAACTGGCATTTATCCTGCTTCTAACAGAGCATCTCTTTATTTGAGGTGTATTTCTTTCTTACTGCTTCAGGTGACTCAGATACTCTCTCTTGCAATCTTGTTACCCACACATATGATGCTGTTTACTTCTGCTGAGTTTGTTTTCCCTGTTAGAGGTATGGCTTTTAAAATATCTGATTATTCTTTTTTATTTTCTTTTCTTTCCCTGCTTGTTGTTTAGGAGTCTCCAACAACTTTTAGATTACCCTGGGGAAGATGTGGAGGAGACATTCTGTTTGAATTTTACAGTAAGACACATTTGACATATCAGCTCTCTGATTGCTGTGGTACAGTTGAAGCCTGTCTATGGTTTCATGTGTATTCTGGCTGATTCCAAATGCCTATAGCACATAGCCCATGATTGTCTTAAAATGTTCTTTGCTGTCAACTCCCTTCTTCTTTTGTATGTATGTGGTCCTAAAAAGTGAGCTAGTAAGTAGATTAAGCTGAGTGGTTTTCAGAACGGGCTTGTTGTCACTGTTCAAAGACCTGATGCTCTAACAGGTTTTGAGTGATGGGTTCGTCTTGATCTGGATCATTTTTTGACTCTCTGTCCAAGGCCTGCCCTGGGGTAAAACAAGGTATCATAAAACTGCTCCACACTGTGAAGAACCTTGCTGAGCAAGGAGAGTGGTGCCCATTTCCTTTTTGCATGAATGAGAGCACATAAACTCTTTTAGATCAAATTTACCTCTGGAGTGAGTCAGACCTGCATCTGACTGTGTCTGGTGCAGCTCAGAGCTGTAACTTGGGATGGGACAGTGGAGCCATTGTGATGGTAATGCAAGCTGTGTAAAAAAAGCATACCTTTAAAGTAACAAAAGAGACTCTCCTCCAAATTCTTTTTCACACATAAGGGCCTCTTTTGTCTATGACCCTTTCACATTCTTTTCAGATAACCAGTTTGAGTACAAAGTGTAGGTTTTGGCTGGCAAAAGCAGAAAAATGTCCATGTCATTTATTCTTCCAGTGAGAGGCGATGAATTAACCCAGTTAAAAAGGGAGTAATTTTTATTGCCAGAACTCGTGAGCTTAGTTTTAATTATCAATCTCTTGGGCCTTTTCCCCAGGAAATGTACCTAAAATAACTTTTATTTGTTTCTAAGTTCACATTTCAACTTAATAGCAGTCCAACAGCAAATGTAGGTGATGGAGGGTGGTGAAGCACACAGGGTACTTGGAGCAGAGAACAGAAGTTCCTGCACATACCATTTTCTCTGGCCCACTCTTTACATACCTCCTTAGTCCTGAGTTGTCTGAGTCTAAGAGGACTCTGTCTTTCTTATTGGCACATGCCCTGGAAAATACTTCTGCTAAAATTAATTTCCTGTTTTTGTACAGATCTGCAGGGAAAGTTATGGTGTGACAGAGCAGAAGAACCTGATTGAAGATGGAGATAAAATCCTGGTGCAGAAAGACAACAGGCAAGTTGGGCACCTGTGGGGATGGACTCGTGCTTGTGGTGAAGTCATGTGCCACAGAAACTCTGGATGAAGGGAAATGTGAGGGCTAATTAGCAGTCACTGCAAACAAATTTTAAGAGCAGTTGCTCAAAAGTTACTGGGCACTAGTAGCACTTGAACAAAAATCAAATCTTCATCATCTTTCCGTAAATGTTTGGAAAATGTACCATGCACTTGGATTGACATCTGCCCTATAAAAGGCCTCTGGGTAGACCCTTGGTAGTTTTTCTCATTTTAAGTAGACATTTGAGACGTTATTTTGGCCCAGGTTAATACCCCTGATGCCTCAGACGGGAACTGTATGTAACCAACAAAACTGAGCCTGGCAGACTTGTTTGTACTCCTCGTTCTGGAGCCGGAAACTTTCCTTTGAGCATGGCCTGACTCCCATCCCTGATCACAGCCAGAAGGACCTGCTGTACTTGGATCCCTTTCCATTTGACTGAACACCCCAGAGTTATTACTAGCACAGCTATCATTCCCTCCCCCTTTTTTTTTTTTTGTCCAGCTGCTGAACTATTTTCTTCCCATAATCTTGTAATTGGATTTCTACAAGTGCGTTTATTACTTGAAGCAGTGTTCACATTCTTTCTCTGCTGGCAAAACATTGTGATCCAGTGACTACTCAGCAGCATGGTTAGGGACTTGTACTAGGATTGCTGAAGACCTGGCTGGCAAGGCTGGAGATGAAGTAATTTCCTATTAATCTGATTATTTAAAAGGGTTTTGAATGTGTCTGAAGCCATTGCTATAGCAAAAGCTTTGTCTTCGCTAACTTTTTACCTACTTTACTACTGCCCAAAATGGTGCAATTACAGCTAAAGAGCTGCCTCCATGCAAAACCCACATGGTTTTCTGTCTCCCTGCAAAGAGAAGATGGACTTCAGGTAAAACAGAGGATTGTTTAATCTACCCCTTCAACAGTGAAGGAAAGATAAAAATGCCATCGTTAGAACCCCTTAGGGTTTTTAGGTTGGGCATATACATTCAAAAGAAAACTTGCCTTTTTTTTTACTGTATGTCATCCAGTACAAAGGAGCAAAGATGTTAGCTGAGAACACTTGGGAAGAGCACCAGGGTTGACTACTGGAACTGTTTATTAAGTCAGCATAGGAAGCAAGGGAAGAAAATCCTTAAGGAGAAAGGCTAGTGTGTAGTTCCACCAGCTTAACATTCCAAAATTCAATTGCTTTATCCTCACTGGAGTTCTGAACTCAAGCTAACCTCTAAATCCAAGTCTAGACATGACTGTCAATTTACCTTACAGTGCTTAATGACTTCCTCCACTTCTACATTTAGAGGCCAGGGACCAATTTGCCACCCTATTGGCCTGAGTAGTTTGTTGTGTGCATGTCTGTGGGCACTGCCCTTCCTGTGTGAGGAAAGTTCATTAGTAACTGGGGCAATGCACGGGATTGCTGTAACTGACAAGTTCAGAGTAGGAAATGCCTACATTTTCCCTTTCTCCTTCGGAGTTCATAAAATGCTCTTGATGCAGAGTTCATGACCGTAACAGCCGGAGAGGAATTAAGCAACAGTTAAGTGCTTAATCAGCTTGAATTTCCCTAATGCTCAGATGACTATGGGGAAAATGACAATAAAACAAGTGCACTGGAAAATAACTCTCCCTTTGGTATATGATTTCTTCACATTTTCAGTTTTGTTATTCTGCTTTATTATTTCCTTTTTACTTCCTCACCTGTCCCTTGTTGCTTTTGCGTAGTGTATGTGGTGAGAATTCCATGAGATTGCCAAAATGTTTCTTCCAGTTGTAACCTCCTCAGCTTTACTGGTGGCAGAGAACCTGGGGGCTCTCCCATGCCACCACTGCCAGGGAATAAGCAGACAGACAGTAGCCCTTGCCACTGAACACTCTGTCCATGTTGCAGTGACTTGGTGAGAGGAGGGCAGTGGGTTAAGGCTGCTGGAGACTTTGCAAAACACTTCACCAGCATAACCAGGAAAACTTGGCAGTGCTGCTGCTCAGACATATGATTAAAAGTGCTTTTCTCTGCCTGCTTTCTCTCAATGCATTAGGGAAGAGTTTGTCGAAGCCTACGTAAATTACATCTTCAACCTCTCCATCCAAGAGTGGTACACAGCCTTTTCTACTGGCTTCCTGAAAGTGTGTGGTGGGAAGGTCCTGGAACTCTTCCAGCCCACAGAGCTCAGGGCCATGATAGTTGGAAACAGTAACTACAACTGGGAGGAACTGGAGGAGGTAAAGCTTCCCTGTTGTACTATTTTTTATTTTGCACAGATGCTAGGCTTATGCAGTTGCATGAGATGGGCATTATTCTGTGTCAGGAGATGGGATAAGCCACAATGCTTTTTTTCCCCATGCTCCTTGTACACTTTGCTGTCACTCACATGAAAAGTTTCTCACTGTGCTGGCCTGCTACAGATAAAGCTGAGGGAGGAAATTCAGGATGAGGAAGGACAGGGAGAAGGACTTCCATCTGATTTTTTTAGGAATGAAATCTATGGCCAAAGGGAGGACACAAAGGGTAGTAAAACTGTAGTAAAACTCCACTGCACAAGGACAAAAACCACACAAGGGTTCAAAGGGGAGTCTGGACACCCAGAAAGGGTTGTATCCTCTCAAAATCTGTAGACCAGCAGGTCACTCACCTGTACAGAGTGTGTGATCCTGTTCCTCAGTTCAACCTGAGAAAAAGCACTCCAGAATTACTCTCCACACTTGTAATTAGCTGAAAAGCAGAAGGCTGGTGTCTGCCTCCCCCACATTGCCAGGAGAGCCCTCGCTGTGTCTTTGAGCCATACCATTGCCCATCACTCATCTCGTGTTCCCTTTCAAAGCTATCAGGCATAGATCTAATGTCAGATACTAGAAAAGATCAGGTCTGAGTTTTGCTTGGTCTTTGCTTTCTAGTGCCAGCTGAAAATGTGCTATTTTGGTTTTTAATAGAGTGCTGTCTATAAGGGAGACTACACTGCCACACACCCAACTGTGAGAATGTTCTGGGAGACCTTCCATGAATTTCCCTTGGAAAAGAAGAAGAAATTTCTCTGTAAGTATCTTGCAGTGGTGCAGCATCTCCTGGAATTGAAAGACTTGGGTGGGAGTGGCTGCAGAGCTTCATTGCATTGAGTTGGGCAATCCAGTGTGAGTGACAATATCTGCTAATCAGTGTTGGGGCTTCCCTCTGTTGTGGGTTTTTCCCTTCTCTCCTGGCCACCTAGCTGGCTCTAGATGGCCCTGCTTGAGCAGGGGGTTGGCCCCAAGGACCTCCAGAGGTCCCTTCAGCCTCAGCCACTCAGATTGTGTGACTGCTGGAAGGATAAAGGCCAGTGTTCATGCCTGGCATTGGCCTTGCTGCAGCTCCCCTGGGGGCCAGCCAGGCGCTGCATGGAGTCCAGTCAGGGTTTCAGCCCCTCCAGGCAGGTGGGGCTGAGCTTTGCCTGGCGGGAGGTCCCTCACCTGTCCCACCTGCCCGGCCTCCCTTGTGCCTCTTGCAGTGTTCCTGACGGGCAGCGACCGCATTCCCATCTACGGCATGTCCAGCCTGCGCATCATCATCCAGTCGACGCCCAGCGGGGAGCAGTACCTGCCCGTGGCTCACACGTGCTACAACCTGCTGGACCTGCCAAAGTACAGCAGCAAGGAGATCCTCAGCGCCCGCCTCGTGCAGGCCATCGACCACTACGAGGGCTTCAGCTTGGCCTGACCCTGCGGGGCTGGCACAGACTCTTGGGTGCTGAGCAGCAGAATGATGGGCTTGGGCTTTATTTTTGTAAGGGAATAGATCTGAACTACTTTTCTTCTTATTTTTCTTTTTTTTTTTTTTGGGGGGGGGTGTGGGGAAATAGAAATAATAATAATAATACAGATAATGCAGTCTCAGCCTGATGCTGCCAGCATTTTGTGGGGTTTCAGCAGGGAGAGGCTCTTGCTTTGAATTTTTTCATCTGCTGGACAAAACCAGTTCAGTGGGCATTTCTGTTGTTTCCCCTCCAACTTGACATCACTGCCCTCCTGGCAATTCCTTGTAGTTTGCTTTTGTTGCCCCCATGCACACACACACTCTTACCTCTTTTTTTAGTTCAGTTCAAATATTTTGATGTCCCTTGCATTTAGGGTATGGTGGAAACAGGATGAAATAGCTATCTCTTCTTTGAAAAGCTGTGATTTTCCTCCCCACCCTTTTTTCCTCCCTTTTTAAATGCAAGCTGGTTCTTGCTTGCTTTGAATGGAAATGTCTCCTCTGCCCTTCAGTCCTTGGAGGATGGTACTGGGCTGGGATGTCATTTGTGACCCCAGAGCAGTGCATTAGTGATGATCCTTTTTGCACCAGGATGTCTCATGGAAAATACGGTAGTTTACAGATGTTAGTTTGTTTTTCTTCACTTGTCTTGAATTTTGTTTTCAAGCTTCTCAAAGAAGCCTCAGAATCCTTCTGGAGTGGGGTTTGTGTTGAGGCTTGTGGAAGCACAAACCCTGCCTATCACAGCAGGTTTCTCTGAATGCCTCTCTTGTGTTGTGTTACTGTCCTGGCAAGTCTGCAGTCTGGCTGGGTGGGCTGCCCTCTTTTTCCATCCCAACAGCCCTGCTACTCCAATACAAGGTGAGGTGGCTGCTTTTACTGCTGCCACCTTTGTCCAGAGGAGCTGTGTGTGTGGATGTGCGAGTGCAGGGCGTGTGGGTGTGGGAGGTGTGTGCAATCTCTCCAGTCTCGTCAGGTCAAAGAAGGAAGATCCCCATTTGAGTCATAGCCCCATGTCTGGAGATTGGTTTGATCTTTGCAGTTAGGTTTATTACTTTGCTGTTTGAGAACAGCCCTCTCAGTTGGCAACTGTTTGCCGGGGGCCTGAAAGACAATCTCTATTAGACTGAAAATGTAGAAAAATCTCTACCTAAATCTATCCTGTATGATTGGAGAGCTTTTGTCCTCTTTTCCTCAGTCTCACTGTCCCATTAAGTGAAGTTTGAATGATTTTTCTCCCTTCCCCCCTGCCATTTTTCAGATCTTGATGTAAATCTCATTTTAAGCCTAGGGTGGTTTTGACATTGACTTGTTATTAGGACATAGTATTTATGCACCATGTTCAATTTACAGTATTGAACTTTGCACCTCGTAACAAAAGGTTTTAGGCTTCTGGATTTTTCTTTTTTTTTTAAAGACGAGCTGTGGGCTACATTGAGAGCTCCCCAGCCTCTTTCTAATGCAGCATTGAAGACAAATATACAGTTATATCAAATGTTTATTTTCGATGTGTGTGTACATAGTACAGTATTATGCAATAAATTTGATGTTTAATTCTGATGGAGTGGCTGCCTTTCCATGTTGGGGAGCAAAGGAGAGGCTGCTCCAGGCACCAGCACTGCCTCTCCCCCTGTCTCAGACAAAGGGAAGTCCTCCAAGGAAGAGCTTGGACTTGAGATCAGCCCTCAGTCATTCCATCGATGCATGTCTGGTTAGACACATATATTGCACATATTTATTTGTTTAGGTGGATGGATCATATGTAGACACAGGAATATGCACATATACTCTTATATACAATGAAATGTGTGCACATTACTGTGTGACCTGTATTATGGTGTAAGGTCTAGCTGCTCTTGTATCTAGTGTATATACAGAGGTGCTGTGGCTCATGGGAGCCAAATCCAAGTGGCTGGCAGGAGATGTGCCAGCAGCCAGAAGCATCTTGGCCCTGGCTTTCCAGGCCAAGCCCAACAGCGAGGAGATCTGGCTGGCTGCTGTGAAGCTTGAGTCGAGAACAGTGAGTATGAAAGAGCAAAGAGGCTGCTGGCAAAGGCTCGCAGCAGTGCCCTCAGAGCAAGGGTGTTTATGAAGTCTGTGGAGTTGGAATGGGTGCTTGGGAATACTGCTGCAGCCCAGGAGCTCTGTGAGGAAGCCCTGAAGCACTATGAGGGCTTCTCCAAGCTGTGGATGATGAAAGGACAAGTTGAAGAACACAAAGCTGGTAGAGAAAGCATGGGAGGTTTATAATCAAGGGTTGAAGAAGTGCCCCCATTTCATACCCCTGTGGCTTTTGCTGTCCAGGCTGGAGGAGAAAGTCATGCAGCTGACTAGAGCAAGAGCTGTCTTAGAAAAGTCTCGCCTGAAGAATCCAAAGAATCCAGACCTCTGGTTGGAGTCTGTATGCTTGGAGTACCAAGCTGGGCTGAAGAACATTGCTAACAGTCTGATGGCCAAGGCACTGCAAGAGTGCCCCAATTCAGGAATCCTGTGGTCAGAAGCAATTTTCCTTGAAGCGTGACTGCAATGGAAGACCAAGAGTGTGGATGCTCTCAAGAAGTGTGAACATGCCCCATGTGTCCTACTGGCTGTGGCCAAGCTGTTCTGGAGCGAGCATAAAATATCCAAGGCCAGAGAGTGGTTCCACCGCACAATGAAGATTGACTCTGACCTGGGGGATGCCTGGGCCTTCTTTTACAAATTTGAGCTCCAGCACGGCACAAAGGAAAAACAAAAAGAGGTGAGGGAGCACTGTGAGAATGCTGAACCTCACCACGGGGAGCTCTGGTCTGATGTCTCCAAGGCCATACAGAACTGGCAGAAAAAGACTGGAGAAATTCTTGTGCTTGTGGCAGCCAAGCTGAAAAATACATTCTAGAGTGTGCTGGCCTCAGCTGCCTCAGAGGTCTCTGTAGGACTTAACCGGCCCACTCAGTGACACAGATTTCGAAGGACAGTGTTGGGGGTTAGGTTTCTTTCCTTTTGTTCCTTTTTACTTACAGAATTTTTTCCCTTAAGTTGCTAGGAATCATTAACGACTGGGTACTTCCGAAAAAAAAAGACGTGGCCAAGCTCAGGGGAGGAGGACATCTGGTTGCATTTCTCTTATCTGGGAGTTTCTCTCCTAAGGGAGAGAGATACCTCGAGAATTCAGAAGGTAAAGGGTGGGGCTGGGGCAGCTGCTGGCTAGCTCTCTGTTTTGGCTTTAGAGGAGGATGGTTGAAGCTGCTGCTTGGGGAAGGGAATTTGCTGCTGCTGCTGGAGCCCAGCCTAGAGCTGCTTCTTCTGCCGTGGGGTGAGCCTCTGCTTGTGAGAGCAGCCACTGAACTGAGACCTTATGAACACCCACCTCACTGAGAGAGGGACCTGTCCCCATCTGCTCGGGGGCCCGGGATCCTGAGCTCGCCCCTCTCTGCCCTGCTGGGAGCTGTGCCACCTCTGTCCCACCCCTGCTGCCTCTTTGGCACTGCTCTGAGCTGTCCTGCAGTGTCCCCTCACCCCCTGCCTGCCCCAGGCATCCCGTGGTTCCAGCCACAGCTCTGGAACAGCTTCTGATACATCTCCTCTACCACCCAGGATTTTTATTCCTGCTGTCCCAGCTTGCTGCTTCTGAGAGTCCTGCTGGGACACTGGGATCAGCTGCCCTGGGGGTTTCCCTTCAAAGCACTTTTTGATCCAGTCTGTCAGCCCAGTTAACACCCCCTCCCCCAGAATCAGAGGAGATCCCATCTCAGGAGATGGGAACTCAGCACCTCTGAAAAGCCAAGCCCCAGGTCATCACGCAAGTCCTCTGGCCTGTTTGGAAATACAAAATTCAGTCTTTGCTGGTTTTATATGGAACAGGCAATTCTGCAATTAATAAAAAAGCCAAACCAAGCCGTCAGTCCCCATCCCAAGTGCTTTCACTAACACATCTCTGCCTTACCCAATGTCCTGGTGTGCTTGTATCCCCAATCATCTGTTCTGTATATGCTGGGGATTAAGTTCTACACCTTTAAGGCTGGTTCCAAGAGCGAAGGGGGTGGCAGGATAAGCACAGTTTGTTATCAGAAGCTGCACTGGCTGCCCCGCATCCCGCTCCTGGACTGTGTCATCTGCAGAATGGACAGGGAGACAGAGCTCTCTTTTGCTTTTTAGTTAGTTTTTAGCTGGCTGAGGCAGACAAGTTCCCTGGACTGTGGCTTTTCCTTTTCTTGGAACTGTTCACAACTGCTTTGGACCAACATCTCAGAAGAACACCGGGAGTTCACACCTGTGGCACACCAGGGCTGGGACACTGTATTCCAGCGCCAGAGGGACTGAGAGACACGCAGTGAGCTGAGCTACACCCCACAAAAAGAACCTTCTGAATCTGCCATCACTTCAGAACAACAAGAGGTTTTATTGTTTGGTATTGTTCATTTTTTATGGTTGTTGGTGCTTTGCTTTTTAAATAAACAGGTTTTTTTCCACATTTCTCCAAGGACATCTTTTCCCGAACCAGTTGGGGCAATTTGCCCTAACCAGGACACCCACCCTGACCAGCAAAGGGCACATGCAGCCCATGACCACCTTTGGAAGAGTTCAAGGGATCCTGAAGAGACCAAAATAGAAGCAATTTTGGCAAGAACACACACAGCACACATAGCAAGTGAAAAGGGATGAAGTACCCTTACGTAAGTACCACAAACTAAATACGACTATTTGTGAACCCACTTGCCCTTAATAAAGAAGGAAGGAGAAGTTGTTCTGGGAGTCCTTTTGGCTCCTCAGGTGTGACATGCATGAGGCCTGGCTACAACCAACACCGGATTTCATCTTGCTTATTTGGTTTCTGTACATTGGCAGTGATCCCCTGGGGAGCTGAAGAAAGCATTACAGAAGTGCCCTCCCTTGGTATCAGGGTGGAGCCTGGCACAGGGCAGACCACGGAGTGCACATAAGCCTCTGGAGTGAGCCCAGGTGTCCCAGGATGGTGGAATTGTGAGCCGTCAGTGACTTGGTGTCCCTGAACTTGGGGCCTTTTTCTCCTTCAGGCAGCACCTGTTTGACGTGAGCACCTTGTTGGGGGTTAGGTTCATTTTCTTTTGTTCCTTCTTACCTACAGAATTTTTCCCATAAATTGCAAAGAAACATTAACTACTGGGTACTTATGGGTACTTAAGAAAAACAAGTAAGCGGCCAAGCTCAGGTATCTTCTCTCATCTGGGGGGGTTTCTTTCCTAGGGGTAGAGATACCCTGAGAATTGGGCAAGTAAAGGGGTGGGGGCAGTGGCTGGTCCTACTCTCTCCCTCTCAGCATCAGAGGCCAGTCGAGCTGTTGCTTACTGGGGGGAGAATTCACTGCCACTGTCAGAGCCCAGCCCAGAGCTGCTTCTTCCTTTCTGGGTGAGCCTCTGCTCGTGAGCGCAGCCACTGAACTGAGACCTTATGAACACCCACCTCACTGAGAGAGGGACCTGTCCCCATCTGCTCGGGTGCCCGGGTTCCTGAGCTCGCCCCTCTCCGCCCTGCTGGGAGCTGTGCCACCTCTGTCCCATCCTCACTGCCTCTTTGGCACTGCTCCGAGCTGTCCTGCACTGTGTCCCCTCACCCCCTGCCTGCTCAGGCATCCCGTGGTTCCAGCCACAGCTCTGGAACAGCTTCTGATACATCTCCTCTACCACCCCAGGACTGTTTTACTCTTTTTTATGGGAGTCCTGCTGGGGCATGGGGATCGGCTGCTCCAGGGTTTGTGGAGCAGAGCCTCTCTCCCTCCCTCCCTTCCCGTCTGGGCCCAGCCGCCATCACGGCGCTCCCTGAGCCCGCGCACAGCGCCCCCTGCAGGTGCGGGGGAGTCATGGCCCTGCCGCCGGGCCGGGAGCCAGCAGCGCCCCTGCTGGCCGCGCCCGGAACTGCACCCCAAGGCACAGCGCCTGCGGCCCAGAGGGGCTGGGACTGGCTCCGGGCTCTGCTGGGGTCAGTGCTGTGGTCTTGTTGTTTGTCTGCTTTATTATACACGCTAGTAAAGAACTGTCATTCCTATCCTCATATCTTGGCCTGAGAGCCCCTTGATTTCAAAAATTATAGTAACTCAGAGGGAGGGGGTTTACATTTTCCATTCCAAGCGAGGTTCCTTCCTTTCTTGGCAGACACCAGTCTTTCAAACCAAGACACATCTGAATCAGGTGTCCCAGGACTTTCATTTCTGAACATCACAAACAAATTTGGAAACAATAAATTGTCAAAGCTTGTACTCTAGACAGGTGCCCTTTCCACAGGCAGAGCACAGCTCTGTGCTCTCAGTTCCCTGTGGTATTCTCTGTACTTCCTACACTGGGAAGAAAAGCCCATCCTCTGCTGCCACCATCAGCATTGCTGCTGCAGCCCACACAGGGGTGATGTGCACAAAAGAAGAAAATTTAGGTGAGTTTGTGGGACACCTCTGTGGACTCTTCAGCTTGGGTTCAGGTGTTTGTATCATGATGAAGCACACATACTAATGGGGTGGGTCTTCCAGATATCCACCACATATTTGACACCAGATATTTAACCAACCACCAAAATTCCAAGTGATTCTCACTTAAAGCATTTAAAACCTCTTCTCTTCCCTGTTGCCCAAATGTGGTCAGAAGGTTTCCGTATCACCCTCCAAGCAGAACAAGCTGGTAAGAACCTGGCTGCATGGCTCATTTTCCTTCATGTACCAAACATGCAGGTACTTCCTTTACTTCGGTTGAATTGGCCATCAAAAACGTGGGAAGAAAACTCAACTCAAGCCTGGGCAAAACTGCAACTCACACCAGCTCTGCCTGATGACCAGGAGATTATTACAGCATTTCTCTAGAGCAACAGAAGATGCTGGACTCCAAACAGGTCAAAAGTCTGAGCAAATCTTTACTGTAGCTACAAGAGAACAGTCTTGGTGCTGCCTGACCTGTGCCCTAACATGATATTGGTCAGGGCACTTGTCTGTTCAACTCAAATAGAAGCTATTTGATGATTTCATTACTCAAGATTGAAGTAAGTAAGATTGCCTCTTGCTATAATATCCTGGGAAAAAAGAACAGCATGGCTGGCTTTGATATTCTAAATTTTACAGGATCTGTAAGCAAATCAATACAGAAGGATCCCTTCAGTGCAGTCACTGAGCGCAGTGTTGTGTCTCCTACACTGGCAAACTCCATTTTGGGCATCAGGCCTGGAGAAACAGTGGGCAACAGCAAATGTAGAGAGTTACAGAAATCCACCTTTCTTCCCTCTCCCACCTCTGGGAATGACCCTTCAGTTCCCAGGGAGCTCCTCAGCTCTCCCAGTCAGGCTCCAGCTGCATCCACTTCATGCATTTGTCCGTTTGGTGCTCTCTCCTCGTTGTTTATTGGCAAAAACAATCTCCTCCTTTACATGATCTTGGAGCTAATATCTCTCTTACTGATCAGGACTTCCAGCAGCCTCAGCTTGGCCTTAACCTGCTTGTATTCACTGTACTCTTCAGCCATGGGAGTGCGGTCTTCTTTCTGCACATTCCTAGTGGGAGTGAAGGCAGACCATGAAGATTTCTGTAACAGGAAGCCTCCCTCAGCAGCCTCCCTCTGTCCACCAACAAGACCTACAAAGCAGCTCCTCTCCCCCACTCCTGATCAGGGAACAAGACCAAAACATTTATCCTTTGAGAGAAAAAACAAACAAACAAAAAAGGGGCAAACAAGCTGCTCCAACAAAGCGTGGGATGCTTGTGTACTGAGGCTGAGCACAACCCCACAGTTCCAAATGCAAAATCCTACTTGAAACATGCCCTGCTTCCCTAAAATCACCAGCTCTGCAAAACAGCTGGAAAACACTTCAGGAGCCATCTGAGTGTTAGCCTGTGAGCATGGCAAAATAAAATACAGTCTCCTCTGTCTTGGCACCACAGCACTTACACGAACAGGCACACTCATGCAAAAGAAAGATGGTATTTGATCATGTTGCTCTTGGCTTACAGAAGAATTTTAAATTTTCAACGATTTAAAAAAAGCCCCTAAGGATGATGGCTGGTAGCAAGAAACAGACAAGATAATTTAAGAGTATATATACATGCAAACATTCTATCAGCTTGTTAATGAGGGACGTTTTCTTTAAAAAAATAAAACCAGTTACACTAAGGCAGAAATACTTGATAAAACTAGTGTCTGAATAGCTCACAGATATGCAAGAATAGGACAGAAATCACTAGGGGGAAAAAATAGTTATTTATACATTGAATAACTCTTCCACCATTCTAAATGTGGGTAAAGCAATGATAATGAATGTGAAGAAGAAATACGTAATACTAAATTCAGGTAACTTTCCGTATTTGGAGATCATTGTAGATGCAAAACAGATTAAAAGTAGCTGAAGAACAGAGAGGCAGCTGAGAAATTGTTACCTTCCGTTTTGTCGGAAAAAGTTATCTTCAAAGTCTCTCAATTTTTTTCTGATTCGTTTTTTCTCTTCCCTGACTTCTTGGAGCTGCTCTAACAGTTCAGGGCTGTTGGGTTTAAAGATAAATGAGATTATCCAAATCAAACAAACACAATAAAAACAGGAAAACATACAATAAACCTACAGATGTTTAGCTGTACATATGCCAAGCAATGGAGCTGCTCCTGGAAGCAGCTCTGGCAGCCTCAAATTACTTGAAACAAAAAGCTCTCTGAGTTTAGTGCAGCAAAATGATCATAAGCTGCAGCTTCTAAGGAGGTCAAGTGTGCACTTCACAATTTACCACTAACTTCTGTGAAACTTATCTTCTGCAGTTGGGCCTGGGTTTGGTGACTTTTTATAGGATCAAATTTAATGGTCACAACTTAGGGCTACCACCCACATGTGTTTGCACCAAACTTGAAACTAGCAAAGCTAGTTCCACTTGACCTCTCCAAAACATGAAAAACCTTCTGGAGTGCAGGGTTTTCATAATAAAGACTTGCCACTAGTGGAGTTACTACTTAGAGATGGAATTCAAAGGTGCATAAGCTAAGTATCAGGACAAGGTAGTTTCTTTCCAAATCCTTTCTATGAGGGTCAATTGCATTTAAAAATGAAACATGAAAACTTACGGCTCAGATCATAAATAGAAAAAACCCTAGAACACTCTTCTGACAAATAAAATGCTATCTCAGCAAGAAATAACTTTTTGTAGTTGCCTGTGAATTCAACATACATGGATGCTTCATGGAGATTTGAAAGCCCCATATCTTGACTGCTCCTAGATGGCATCTTATCATCCACCGGGGAAACAAAGCCGTCAGCATCATCTTCTAGTTGATCCAAGAAGCTGCGCACACTGACATCTGTTTTTAAGGTAATTGTGAGATCCGGCTTCACATTGCTGTCCTCCTCAGACCCCTCCTCTTCTTCCTACACACAGGGACAGAGCACCCCCACAAGAAGACAGGTTATTGCTTCCCTTCTCAGGAACAGGCTCCTCCTCTCACCACATGCACTCGGAACAAGAAGTGGAAAGGCAGAGCAAACACTTCAATTGCCAAGCAATACACAGGACACCAGAAGACCATCAGTAAGACATCCTAGAACCAAAGCATGACAGAGAAATTGCCACCACAAAC